AAAAATAAAAACTTAGTAAGAATTAACGTGATTTACGGTAAGACTTAATGTAAATGTTTTTTAAATTACAGGGTTGATCCATTTTCAAAGAAAGATTGGTATGATGTAAAAGCACCAGCAATGTTTAATATAAGAAATATTGGAAAAACACTAGTCACGAGAACTCAAGGAACCAGTGAGTATTTTATGCTTGTTTTGTATTTTTCTTTACTTAAGGTCTGCTGGTGGTCCTGTGGTGGGAGAACTTAAGGAAATGTCAGTTCTTGATTGCAGCTTTGGCCACTGTTGGTGCTTGTGTTTGGTGCGACACTTGTAGAAGAAAGGTGGTGCTTTTAGAATCATTAAGAAAACGTGCCTGGGTAGTTTGAGCTTCTAATGAGCATAGTCAGGTCATTGGTGTTCAAATGGATTTGGTTAACAAAAGTTAGGGTTTTTGTAACGTACCATAAATTTTCTGATTTCTCAGTTCAATTTTATGCATGAACATTTCTTCGTTGGCTTGACTTTATGTGGTTCCTAACGTTAATGATATGACAATTTTTGTTTTATAGAAATCGCATCTGATGGCCTTAAGGGTCGTGTGTTTGAAGTAAGCCTGGCTGATTTGCAGAATGATGAAGTTGCATTTAGGAAATTCAAGCTAATTACTGAAGATGTTCAGGGCAAAAACTGCCTGACTAATTTCCATGGCATGGATCTTACCCGGGACAAAATGTGCTCCATGGTCAAAAAATGGCAGGTGAGAACAAAAATTCCTCAGTGCTTGGTGCTGTGGTATGCGTGGCCAAGGATGTGATGTTATAATGACCATGAAATTGAAGTAAGTTTCATTTTAAATTCTTGATGTTTTCTTGTCTTTACTGAGTTCTGACTCCGGAAGTGGCACTCCTGAATTTGAGCAAAGCTGTGAGCAAGCCATCATCTTCTTGTTTAAATGGAGTTCAAGATTTAGTCTCAAGGTTTAGTACTGGGTTATCAGAGTTAGTTTTTCTGCTGCGTGGATTGTTGGTTGGGGTATGTCTACGTGCAGGTTTTCAATTTTGTCTGTCTTTAGCATATCTTTGAAACTCAAAATCTAGTGAATTTTATAGTGAAAAGGTTCATTGGTGCATTTGTTTCTCTTGTAATGTAGCATGATAAGAGTGGCAGAGCCTCTGGTGTGAGGTTGGAGTCTTTGCTCCATTTCCCAGCCGTGTTCTCTTTGGCAAGCAACTTAAAGCTTTGCCAAACCTTGATTTCTTTATCTAAAATGCAGGTAAGAGTATCACTTCTTGGGGTTAAGGTGAAATAAAAGCCATGTAAACATGCTTAAGCAAAGAGCTTGACACAAACCATCTGGTCAGTATTGTTATTACAGGAAATAACTACGTTGGTTCAGATGTGTCTGGCTAACCATTCAGTTTTGGGATATTTTGTTTATGGGAATGAATGATGACAAAATGTTTTGGTGCCAAATGATACATACTGATTATACTGTTAGATTTATTTCTGACATTCCCCGAGGATTTTATGGTTGAATTTCTGGAGATATTTTAAGGTATTTTTGCTAGAAGTGTATTATTAAACTAATTTACAAATTGCAAGGAGGTAATTCAGTTTTTGTTGCTACCTAAGGTAGTTTTCGTTTTTTAACTTTGTGGAGTGATATGAATAGTTAACAGATTTTTAATTACATTTTAGTTGTGAAATTGAATATCTAATCCTCAGCATGGCTCTAGTTTGGGACAGGAAGGACATTTAAAAATACAGATATTTAGTGTTAATAGCAATATTTAATCTATTCAAACACATTTTTTTAAAAAGGAGTAAGTGTAGATGTCCATATTGTAGAGTGTCTTCGAACCTATTTTCTCATCTTGCAGAGTTGTTCCACTGAGTGGGAAGGGCTGATGGGTGGGAAGGGTAGGCTGTTAAAAGGCTGGCATGCATACATAAAAGGTATGGGAGTGCTGGGTGCTGTTGAGATGGGGATAGAAGTGTTACATGGGGATGAGAAGGAGAGTTGGGAGGACTTGGTATTAGATACGAAGGATAGTAACATTTGGAATAACTGTTGGTAAGTTTACTTCAGGGAAGTTAATTCTGTAAATTAGGCATGTAGTTTATGTTATACTTCATATTATAAAATAAGTACTTGATCCTCTAGTTTTTTTATATTAGAAATTGAGGGCTTTAAATTGAACTT